AACTCCTTTTGACTTCTGAATCTTTAAGTAAAAATATTTTCAGATTTCTATTAATTGTTGATATTCCAAATAACTTCCAAATGTTTAAAAAAAAAAAAAAAAAGACTTAATATGCTTTACATATTTCAGATTGTAAAGACTTTTTTTCCAGGAAAGCAATACAAAATCACTTCCTCATAGAAGATGCAAGGTAGTTCTTTATTGCTATGTATTTAGGTTTGTCCAGTTGTTGTTGAGCCTTTGCATAGAAATTTCCGTGTTTTGTTCTTACTATATAATGACTGATACTCCTTTATTTATTTATTTGAAAATTCTGAAACTAAGTTATCGGTCTGTGCCAATACTACAAACTCTTGCAAGTGGATTGATTTTAATTACTAGACAGGAAAACTTCATGTTCCTAACGTTTTTTGTGTTAGCTTTTATTTTCTTGTAAGAACATTGATTGACTGTCACTCTTTGGTAGCCGTTTGAAAGTGTTAATAAATGTAGTGTTTACGTTAATTTGGTGCTTTTTTGTTAACCAGAACGATGTAGTGTATATATGGGCAAATGAATCAAGTTAGAAAATGGTGAGTGCGCTAATGCTATATTTTGTTCTTAGGAGATGTTTTTAATACTTCATGTTGAAGTCTGTGAAAAAGTTGCATTCTAAATACAGGAAATGGAATTTATTAGTTTTTAGTCAAACTACTTCAGAATTAGTGCATACATTAAAGAAACAGAAATGTTGCACCTAAAACTTACTTATTAGATAGACATAATATAGACTGGGAATAGAACTGCATATTTCCAGTTACACTTTCATTCAAAAGTTTGCAGAATTTTAGAACTGATCCTCTCTCACATTGTTTTTCATAATATGTTGCAAGAGGGAGGAAAGAACAGCTTTTGGCTCTCCGCCCCCACTTGTTTTCTCAACTTGAAGGAAAGAAAGTTTCAGGCTTTGAGCTGAGCTGAGCTGGCTGAATAAAACTAAATGAAGAACGTTGCTTCTCTGTACAAGAGTATACGTAGTCTCAAAGTAGGGCTTGGCATTTCTTATTCCAGATCTTGAGCTTTTTCATACCTTTTATTTGTTTCATTTTACATACATACATGCACATATACTGCTTATTGTCTGCTCTGACAATTTGTTATTGGATGATACAGAAATAAATGATAGGATTCATTGCTGTCATGTCAATGCTTCTACTACCTAACCGTACTCTGGTTCTTCATCATTGTCTTAGAAAAAGTCTCGTAATTCTACCAGTCTTTTGCTTCATGACATTCAGCTCTAGCGAGGATCCTATGTAGTATATGAAAGTAAGAATGATCTTACTGGTCCATACCTAGAGCGCATCCAGCCCAAGTATTCTGTTTAAAATAGTGGCCATGGTAGACTCCTGTTGAGTGTAACAAATATATTGGTTACTTTCTGCCTAACAGTCTTACGGCCTTCAACTCTTTTCAATTCAAGGATTTTTCTAAGCGTGATTGGGTTTGTCTGTTTAGTAACCCTCAATAGATCTTTCTTCTAGGTACTTTTCTATCCTTTTCTTCTTTGATGCAAGTAAGCTTTATGCGTTCAAGTGTCTTTTGTCAAGAGGTCCTGAGCAGTAGTGCACTGGATGAAAAACCACTTTTTTTTTTTGTGTACTGTTGAATCTGGCTGCCACAAGCTTCATTTGGTGGCACATAGTTCATGCTTTGAAAGAGAGAATGAGCAATTGATTCACTATTTCCATGCTGCTTGTGACTGTCTAGACAATTACTGCATCTCTGCAGAGGTTAACACACGTTTTGTTTTAAGAACACTGACTATCTTTTCCTCTTTCCAATTTGGTCCTTATAAGATCAAAATTTGAGGCACAGAAGGTGACATCTCAGTCCGAACTGATGTTTTGACAAAGTGGAGTGGAGTAATTGATATTTTCATTTGAATGCGTACAAATCAGTCCTTCAAAGATGGGATAGACTTTTTCGTATTTCAGATACTTTTCTTTTGTAAAAACCTTTGCTTCCTGGAGGCTGACAACTGTGTATGGTTCTGTTCTGATCACATGACGTTGCTTAAATTTTCTCAGAACCTTTTCTTTTGCTTTCAAATAATTGTTCTCATGCGTTCTATCATATTAGGATACACCACCCTTTTGTTGTTGTTGTTATGTCAACAAGTTTAGGCACTGATCCACCAAAGCAGTTAAGCGCTTATGAACCGTGTTGAATCCATCTGTAATCTGTTAACAATTTTACGCTCTTAAGGATTCATTTCGTCCAGACTTTTTCTTCTAAAGCCGGAGTATGAGCCCTAGCACAATGCAAGAACATTAGCTAGTTTTATTGTTTAAAAATAGACAACAGATCTCTTGCTCTTATTTATTAACTTGTTTCCTACAGTAAGTCCCTTTTATGTGTTTATTAAATATTACCATGATTTATTATTGTATCTAGTGAATCCCTTACAGCTGTATGTTTTCATTTTCTGGGCAGCACAAATCCAAATCCTCATGTGAGATTAATGCCTAAATATGCCTTTGTCATGTTTAATTTTTCTTCTGTCAACTCTTCTGTATTTAAAGAATTGGAAGGAAGTAGAATGAAGAGTTCAAGATAAAAAGAAAGCTCACCTACCTCTGTTTACATTCAGGCATAAATTAAAACTAAGGCTAAATTTGTTTGAACCTGTATTTATGTTTCCAAATTACCAGCTTTGTTTCCTATACATTCATTTCATGCATCTCTGCAAGTTTCCCCCCCCCAAACTGTCTTTTAATATAAAGCAGTTCCGTTCTGGCTGTAACTTTGGGAGTATGATTTTATTAACAAAAGTACCTTGAGTCGTTTGGGAATTTGCCTCTATGCGCATTTTGCCATCGCTATCCCTATGAGGAAGATGTAATGTCATTCCTACAAGCGCTCAAGTATTGCAGGGGAAGATTAGGATGGCTTGCCCAATCTTACATGTATAGTTGTTCTGGTCTCACTCCTAAATTTTTTATCTGAAAAGAATGAACTGTTCATTTTTTTCATAATAGTTTACCTGATAAAAGTTGAAATAGAGATGCTTCTTAAAAACGCCTAGAATGCTGGAGAAAACCATCTACTGCTTGCAAAGGCCTTCTGCCTTGAGTTGTGCTTTGGATGTGTGGTACTCTCTCTCAGAAACAGATTTTGGAAGTATAGGATATGTATGAAATTATTTTTGTTTGTATTCTTTTACTGTCAGTATTAAGATTGGTTGTCCCCACCCCGCACACCCCACACCCACCTTTATCTAAGTTTTTTTTTTTGTCCAAGGCTGCCTACGAAAGAAACATAGTTTAATTTTTGAGATGATCCAGTCAAGTTCTGCATGTTTTCCTGTGCCTGCAATGTAGTATTTGTCAGAAAAAAAAAACCAAACTGCACTTTGTTTTATTACTGCAAATCTAGTAGATGTGTCCTACATAATATTTTTCTTCATATTAATAACCTGCAAGTTGTAGAAAGGCTTTTGGACGTTATTTGTACTTGAGAAAGAATGATACTAGAGGAGGAGGTTTGGCCATGGTGTTGTATCATTCATTACCAAGCGAGCAATATATGAGCTTGCATGCAGGGACTCTTCTCTTCTTAAAAGTAGACTCTTCAGAAAATTTTTGGAAAATTTCACATCTTGGGTAGCATAGACTTCAGTGATGGAAGAGCTGTAATTTCTGAATTGCTAATCTACTAAATAAAAAAAAGATATTCATAGCAATAAAAAGTTAGCAAAATATAGAGACGGACATGCATGTTATATACAAATAGATTTAAACAGTCTTGTATTGGTCTTTGGTCTGTATTGACAGCATGTTTTTCTGTTGGTGTTAGTTAAAGTTTATGCAAGCATTGTGTATGTTTAGCCTTTACTTCATCTATCAAAGCTTAGTATTTTTGCTGAGTAGTGAACCTTTTCTTAAAATCTAGCCAGTGTATGCATCAATATTTTGATGTGTAAAGAAAGGGGAAGAGGAGACAAGTGATCCAAAGAGAGTCAATGCTGCAGTCTGCTGTGTGTGAAATACTTTTCAGTGAAGCATTTTAATATGAGCTATATAAAAGCTTTATTTTCTTGCAAGATGACCAAGAATGTCTATTATAGGTCTAGCCGCTTGGAACGTATATAAATTTTAGCTCTGTTTAAAAGGGGAATATTTGGTTTTTCCTTCCCCTCCCCCCCCCCCAATGGATATGAAACAATTAGTTTCAGTACTTGACTGAAAAAAAAAAAAACAACAAAAAACCAAACAAACTAATTTGCAATGCCTGCAGTCTTGTTTTTTCTCATGTTCACGTGGACTTGGATGACAGCTTGCCTTCCATCTTCAAAAACATTCCGATTATTTTGTGATTTCTTTTTATTACCTGTATGGAGGTGAAGAGCTGCTTGCTCATGACATGCATTTTTGTGCAAGCCTGATCTTGGAACTGAAACCTTTTAGTCTCACAGGTTGCAGACTTGTGGTCTAGTGCCTGCTGTTACATTAATAGGCATGTATGTGGTGACATGGGCTCCTGGGCCTTGATTCCTTCCCCGCTCCCCCTGCTCCGCTAGCTGTAATACCTTTACTGAAGAGTCTTTGACATTATAGTTCTGTTCTTGAGGATGCAAATTGGCATTTTGACATGGAAAAACACATACTTTGTGTGTCTCCTAAGACTGTTCATGAAACTAAATGGGTATGGTGTTTGCCCCTTTGAGCCAGCTACAAATTTCTGCCATGTATCCCCATTATCTATCTAATATTTCAACAGATGATATGAAACTGTTTTTTGTTATAAAAGTACTTCTGAACATTTTACACTGTATGAGACTTTATTAAAAATTACTTTACCTTTTAAATTATTTTTGACTTTATTCTTTTATCCTAGCATTTTGGTAAAATATCGCATGTGAAACTATAGGCCATTGTGCAATTTTCATTTTCACTACAACTACTTTCATTTTAGCTTTATATTTGGAAGTATCACTGACTTTGTTCTATCTTGTTTAGCTTTCCAGTTCTGCAGCCTTGGAAGGGAAAGGACAAGTAAAATTTACATCTGGACGATGGAGTCCACACCACAATTGTACACAAATTGGGACAGCCAATGATACTACTGTTCGAGGATGGGATACACGAAGCATGAGGTAATGAAAAATTGCAGTCTCTTCCTCAGAAAAGGAGGAAGAAATGCCACTCTCCCTTGGAGGTGGATTTTCATTGCTCCTAGTATTTTTTTAACGATTAGATACGTGGCAAAGCTATTGCTCGTAAATGGAACGGTATGGCTTGCATAGCTGATGTATTCACAGTTTAGTAAAAGGTTTTCTTCATTTTTTCCATCAGCTTCAACTGTAACTTGTATATCGAGTTTTGTTGAACTGTATACTAGTCCCAAGATGATTAGGTCAGTACACAGGCATTACCTAAATGAAGCTGTTCTATAATTCAACCTGAAAATCAATTTTTAAGATTGATCCTGACTATGCTATGAAATGTCTTAATAGCATAGTATTTAAAGGTAACTTTAGTCTTTAGAGGTAATTTCTTGGATAAATTCACTCTTACTTTTCTGATTTTAATGAACAGTATACTATATTACAGACTGTAGCATACTAGTTTCATGTAACTACTGAAGTGAGCAGAATCATGACCAAATCAATGAAGGTTTTGTATGTGCCCAATAAGGTGTCTTCCCCCTGCTCAGTTGTGATTTTGATAAGCAAAGGAGTGATGTTGTACACATCTGTTGCCATGACTACTAAAGCCTGTGCAAGCTTTTTTAAGATACACTTTTTCCCCTTAGCACATAGTAATTTATCACTAAACTGAGAAGACGGATGTCTTGTAATAACTTTTGTTGCCTTAAAGTGGTATGACTTTAAATTTCGTTCTATGGTTCCTGCCAGCTCAGGGGTGTAGCAGTAAATCCCCGTGTTTGCTAGCCATGTGTGTTTCTGCCAAAAAGATTGGTTTAATTTAATTAGCAAAAGCTAAAAATACAAATACAGTCATATAAAAGTCACTTCTCGTATCGTTATCTGGTTTGATCGTGCCATTTTGTTCTGTAAAAGGATATGTAAAAATGTAATTTTGTATATGTGCCTGTATGGGGACTGTTTTAAATGAAGCATAAAAGAGAGAAAGAAAAGATCAAAGGAGAAAGCTTTTTCTTTAAGTTGCTTTTTTCTAATGTTTTTGTAACCATCCTATTTTTAGCATGTAATATGCAAACTTGAAGATTAAAGCTGTGCACTTTCTAAGTGGAAAATATTAAATACTGTGATTTTTTTGTGCATATAAAAAGTCTATTTAACACTCTGGCCCATTAGAAAAACACTCATTATTGGGTTAAATGAGTTCTCGTGGTAACATGTATGAAAGCTGCAAGAAAAAAGTAGCTTGGTTAACAGAAACAAACCCCACCGTTCTAATTAGCTTAAGTGAAGCTCCGATTAGATAGTCCTTGAAGTAATTTAAGAGTAATAGGCTCTGCCAAAGAGTTGTTTGCAGTGTACTTGAAAAATACATGATAAAAATAAGTGTAGTCTGCAGTTGCACCATAACATGTTTAGAGTGATGCAGCTATCTCAGAAGGACTAGTTAGACTAGAGACAGGAGTTTAAAATCATGGCAGTATACACCACAGCAGTATAAGTAGCAAAAAATGAGAAAAAGAAATCCAAGATGAAAAATTGCTGTAACAGCAGAGAATAAAAAAGGAGAGATACTAAAGAAGTAGCCAGAATAGAAACATGAGAGTGCAGTTATGAAAGCTGTAGGATAGATGGAAAATATGATACTGAATGTGGCAAACAAAGGAGGAAAAGAACGGGCGGATGTAGGAAATACTCCTAGCCTAGGATGCAATCTTTAATAAAATTTAATCAAAGAAGTGCTCGTAAAGCACAGAGGACAGAAACTAGGCTGAATGGATTCTGAGGGAGAATTATCAAGGAAATCCAGACTCCAAGAATACATTTTAAAAAATCTGGAAGAAAAAGGACGCTCTGCCTCGGGGTGGGTGAAGAGCAAGTTGAGAGCCTATGGGTAAGGATTAAAGGGCAGGGTAACATGGGTGACACTGTTGTGGGGGTCTACTACAGGCCACCTGACCAGGAGGAAGTCATCGATGAGGCCTTCTACCGACAGCTGGAAGTAGCCTCACGATCACAGGCCCTGGTTCTCATGGAGGACTTCAACCACCCTGACATCTGTTGGGAAGACAGCACAGCTAGGCACAAACAGTCAAAGAGGTTCCTGCAGAGCATTGATGATAATTTCTTGACCCAGGTGGTGGAGACGCCAACGAGGAGAGGTGCAATGCTAGACCTTGTACTAACGAACAAAGAAGGTCTAGTTGGAGATGTGAAGGTTGGGGGCAGCCTTGGCTGCAGTGACCATGAGATGGTGGAGTTCAGGATCCTGCGAGGAGGGAGCAGGGCAATGAGTAGGATTGCAACGCTGGACTTCAGGAGAGATGACTTTGGCCTCTTCAGGGACCTACTTAGGGGAAT